GATTGGGTAGTTTCTTGTGCTCAATAAAACAGAAGTAATACTAGTGAAATAGCTAAGAATTTGATCAACTGGAATAATATAAGTGGTCTAAAACAGAAGTCAAAGTGGGGAAAAATCGCTGATGTGTAAATAATAGCTGATGCAGTAAAATTCAGCAGTGAAACTTCATCAGTTTTCCATCAAATTTCATACTTTTAGGCCGCCAGGATTGATGGGATAAAGATAGAAATGTTAAAAGCAGGTGGGGATATAGTTTTGGAGTGGTTGGTGCAATTATTTAATAAATGTATGGAAGAGGGTAAGGTACCTAGGGATTGGCAGAGAGCATGCATAGTTCCTTCAAATAAAGGCAAAGGGGACAAAAGAGAGTGCAAAAATTATAGGGGGATACGTCTGTTGAGTATACCTGGTAAAGTGTATGGCAGAGTTATTATTGAAAGAATTAAGAGTAAGACAGAAAATAGGATAGAAGATGAACAAGGAGGCTTTAGGAAAGGTAGGGGGTGTGTGGACCAGGTGTTTACAGTGAAATATATAAGTGAACAGTATTTAGATACCTAGGTAGTAGGTTGGTAGACAGCAACCGCCCAGGGAGGTACTACCGTCCTGCCAAGTGAGTGTAAAACGAAAGCCTGTACTTGTTTTACATGATGGTAGGATTGCTGGTGTCCTTTTTTCTGTCTCATGAACATGCAAGATTTCAGGTACGTCTTGCTACTTCTACTTACACTTAGATCACACTACACACACATGTACAAGCACATATATACACACCCCTCTGGGTTTTCTTCTATTTTCTTTCTAGTTCTTGTTCTTGTTTATTTCCTCTTATCTCCATGAGGAAGTGGAACAGAATTCTTCCTCCGTAAGCCATGCGTGTTGTAAGAGGCGACTAAAATGCCAGGAGCAAGGGGCTAGTAACCTCTTCTCCTGTATATATTACTAAATGTAAAAGGAGAAACTTTCGTTTTTCCTTTTGGGCCACCCCGCCTCTGTGGGATACGGCCGGTGTGTTGAAAGAAGTATTTAGATAAGGCTAAAGAGGTCTTTATGGCATTTATGGATTTGGAAAAGGCGTATGACAGGGTGGATAGGGGGGAAATGTGGTAGATGTTGCAGGTGTATGGTGTAGGAGGTAGGTTACTGAAAGAAGTGAAGAGTTTTTACGAGGATAGTGAGGCTCAAGTTAGAGTATGTGGGAAAGAGGGAAATTATTTCCCAGTAAAAGTAGGCCTTAGACAAGGATGTGTGATGTCACGGTGGTTGTTTAATATATTTATAGCTGGGGTTGTAAGAGAAGTAAATGCGAGGGTCTTGGCAAGAGGCATGGAGTTAAAAGATAAAGAATCGCACAAAGTGGGAGTTGTCACAGTTGCTCTTTGCTGATGACACTGTGCTCTTGGGAGATTCTGAAGAGAAGTTGCAGAGATTGGTGGATGAATTTGGTAGGGTATGCAAAAGAAGAAAATTAAAAGTGAATACGGGAAAAAGAGTAAGGTTATGAGGATAACAAAAAGGTGATGAAAGATTGGATATCAGATTGGAGGGAGGAGTATGGAGGAGGCGAATGTATTCAGATATTTGGGAGTGGACGTGTCAGCAGATGGGTCTATGAAAGATGAGGTGAATCACAGAATTGATGAGGGGAAAAGGGGTGAGTGGTGCACTTAGGAGTCTGTGGAGAACAAGAACTTTGTCCTTGGAGGCAAAGAGGGGAATGTATGAGAGTATAGTTTTACCAACGCTCTATATGGGGTGTGAAGCATGGGTGATGAATGTTGCAGCGAGGAGAAGGCTAGAGGGCAATGTGTGGTGTGAATATAATGCAGATGAATTCGTAGTTTGGAAGTTAGGAGGAGGTGCGGGATTACCAAAACTGTTGTCCAGAGGGCTGAGGAAGGGTTGTTGAGGTGGTTCGGACATATAGAGAGAAATGGAGCGAAACAGAATGACTTCAAGAGTGTATCAGTCTGTAGTGGAAGGAAGGTGGGGTAGGGGTCGGCCTAGGAAAGGTTGGGGGAGGGGGTAAAGGAGGTTTTGTGTGCGAGGGGCTTGCACTTCCAGCAGGCATGTGTGAGCGTGTTTGATAGGAGTGAATGGAGACAAATGGTTTTTTTTTAATACTTGATGTGCTGTTGGAGTGTGAGCAAAGTAACATTTATGAAGGGGTTCAGGGAAACCGGCAGGCCGGACTTGAGTCCTGAGAGATAAGAAGTACAGTGCCTGCACTCTGAAGGAGGGGTGTTAATGTTGCAGTTTAAAAACTGTAGTGTAAAGCACCCTTCTGGCAAGACAGTGATGGAGTGAATGATGGTGAAAGTTTTTCTTTTTTGGGCCACCGTTGCCTTGGTGGGAATCGGCCAGTGTGATGATAAAAAAAAAAAAAAATACCTTTAGAAAAAGATTCTATACCATTTCATAAGAAAAAATAATTTTTTTTAATTCCTGAACCCTAAAAGGTTATTAAATACTATACTTTAAATACTTTATAATAGAATCATGCAAGTGTACAAGAGAGGTACCAGTCAGCCACTTCCAACTTCAGTAGCCAAATTATAAAAACAGACTCTACTTATCCGTTTCCCTGTATCTTCATCTTTAAGAGTTCAAGAAACTGGATATAATACAGCTTATGTACACAAGGCATGTACAGTGTACATCACTTTCATGGTTCTTTGTTAACCCTTTCAGGGTTTCCGACGTATTAGCACGGCTTACGCACCAGGGTTATTGACGTACTAAATGCCTAAATTCTAGCGCCTTCAAATCTAGTGAGAAAGCTGGTAGGCCTACATATGAATCAGAATGGGTCTATGTGGTCAGTGTGCACAGTATAAAGAAAATCCTGTAGCACACAGTGCATAATGAGAAAAAGAAAAAACTCCAACGTGTTTTTGGTTTAAAACAGCAATTTTGCAGTGTATTTTCATATGATATTTATGGTTGTATTCTAGTTTTCCTGGTCTCATTTTATAGAATGGAAGAGATATTACAGAAATTGAGATGATTTTGATTGGTTTCATAATGAAAAGTACCTTGAAATTTAAGCTCAAAAGTAGCAGAAATGTTCAATTTTTACCAAATTTCGAAAGTAAACAAATCATGCCATGCATCCAATACACGTCAACTGGTGAGTCTAATATTCTTTCAAAAGTGCACTGATATTATTTATACCATTTCTACACCATTTCTACACTAATGTAGTAGTCTCCGTAACAGTAAATCTTCTATTTTTTGTGAGAATAAAAATTCAAAGTGGAAAGCAAAAGAGATGTAAGAAGGGCCTGGGGACATGACTAATGAACAGAGAAAATGTTATTTTAGTGCCAGGAATGTGTGTCTTGCTTATTCTGGATCCTATTGGAAATTGGCAAAATTGCCAATTTCTGACCACTTTATTGGATACTTGAAATCGGTAAATGGATGGCTTCTTGTACTCATTCGATAGAAAAAATGGAATTCTAGCAAAATAGACATGATTTTTGTCGACTAGTACAATGAAATTGGCCGAAAATAGGGCTCAAAGTGGCCGAAATCGCTGATGCATAAACATCGTCGAGACCGTTAACTTCGTGAGAGAATAATTCCGTAAGTTTTCCATCAAATTTCACACTTTTGGTGTCATTATGATCAGGAAAAGATTCTCTATCACTTCACAAGAAAATTTTTTTTTTTTCTGAAAAATTTTCGACCCTGAGAATGAGTTTAGGAGAGGGCCTCTTGACCCTGAAAGGGCTAACATAGTGACATAAATAAATTGGCTGATTATGCCAAAATAGGCCATCTAATTTATTTTAATGAAAACATTAGAGCACTCCAGGATGATCTGAATAGACTGATGTAATGGTCGGAAAAGTGGCAGATGTAGTTTATTACAGACAAATGCAAAGTTCTAAATGTTGGACAGGAAAATAACCATGCCATATATAAAATAATGTAGATCTTAATACTCCTGACTGAAAAAGGATTTAGGAGTTCTGGTTAGCAGTAATTTAAAACCAAAAACAACAGTGCACTAGCATTTGCAATAAAGCTAACATAATCCTTAGCTTCATATGAAGAAGTAAAAATGATACAAGTCCTCAGGTTGTTCTTCAACTCTATATATCCTTGGTTAGGCCTCACTTAGATTATGCTGCACAGTTCTGGTCACCGTATTACAAATGGATACAAATGCACTGGAAAACGTATAGAGGATGACAAAAATGATCCCATGTATCAGAAATCCTATGAGGATACACTAAAAGCCCTGAATCTGCACTCTAATAGGGATAGAATTAGGGGATATATGATAAGGTGTATAAATGGAAAACAGGAATAAATAAAAGGAATGTAAATAGTGCGCTGAAAATTGCCTGCCAAGACAGGACTCACAGCAAAGATTTCAAGCTAGAAAAATTCAGATTCAGGAAGGATATAAGAAAGCACTGGTTTGATAAGAGAGTTGTGGATGAGTGGAACAAACTCCCGAGTACTGTTATAGGAGCGAAAACGTTGTGTAGTTTTAAAAATAGGTTAGATAAATACATGAGTGGGTGTGGGTGAGTGTGAGTTGGACCTGACTAGCTTGTGCTACTAGGTCTGATGCCATGCTCCTTAAGTGGAAGTGACCTGACTAGGTTGGTCATTGGTCTAAGCCAGGGGTGACAAGGACCTGCTTCACATGGGTCAGAAGGCCTGCTGCAGTGTTTTTCTTTCTTATGTAACTAAAAAAGTGTCAAGGCCTGACACAAGCAGTGTTTACATGGTCTATGTTTTGACCCCTTACCCACCATTGTCATACTACAAACCTGAGGAAACCTTACATAATGTCAATACTGCATTGTTTCATTTAAAATAAAATTTACATAGACAAAATGTGCTGGTCAGCTGCATCAGAAACAAAGTTTATTGGTTACAGAATTGTCAATGATTGTATGTTAACAACAAAACAATAGTCTATCTGCCACAATCACCAACTACCTGTTTCTCTTCCTATTTTTCAGACTCTATTAAGAATACACTAATTACCTTAGTAATGTCTGACTCACGCTGCCTGATGGCCTCCAGCTTGGAAGGTCATTCACTAATACTTGAATTCCAAGTTTCATCTTCTCCTTGTTGAGCGAGAAGTCCAGACAAGCAATCTTGGCATTTACCATTTTCTTCACCATAGCTGATAAAGAAATATATATTAACGAGTACTATTTAGTGTACAGAAGAATCTTGAAGTACTACAACAATTGCAATAACAATACACAAATTAGTTACATTATCTAGAAGTAGTGTGACATAAGTCACCATATTACAGAATGAACAGGATATCCAAACTTGCATGATGCATATTCATTGTGCTCGTGTAAGGCTCCTGATTTGTACCTACAGAAGGGTAGCCAGATTGTAATGATGCCTAGTCTCCAATAGACAAGTTGTGTAGTTTCTTAAAAAAAAAAGAAAGCTCGACTCTCATCCCAGTAGTTAATCAACATTTATGAAGAAAAATACTCTATGTACTACACTTTTTGCACCCCCGCCCCATTGTTTTTAGTTTGCAATTGTGGCTTAGGTTTTTTCTACTGATGGTGCCAAGTCTTCCCTATATATATTTTTTTCATATCCAGTATCCATACACTGCATGTGGTTGTCCACCTTCCTCTCTACAATTCACATTTCCCAATTTTGGAGCTATAATGAAGTATCTCCAAATTTTTTTTTTAAGACACCTAAACACAGCTGCTTATTGTATTTCTGGTCTGGTGTAAGTGGAGGGGAGGCAGGGCAGGGGTATTCCTAGAAAAGAAAAGGCAGGAGGGGTGAAAGAGGGTTTGTGTGCAAGGGGATTAGATATAAAGCAGGCATGTGTGAATGGCATAAAGTAGGAGTTGTCACAGTTGCTCTTTGCTGATGACACTGTGCTCTTGGGAGATTCTGAAGAGAAGTTGCAGAGGTTGGTGGGTGAATTTGGTAGGGTATGTACAAGAAGAAAATTGAAAGTGAATACAGGAAAGAGTAAGGTTATGAGGATAACAAAAAGATTAGGTGATGAAAGATTGGATATCAGATTGGAGGGAGAGAGTATGGAGGGGGTGAATGTATTCAGTATTTGGGAGTGGACATGTCAGTGGATGGGTCTATGAAAGATGAGGTGAATCACAGAATTGATGAGGGAAAAAGGGTGAGCGGTGCACTTAGGAGCCTGTGGAGACAAAGAACTTTGTCCTTGGAAGCAGAGGGGAATGTATGAGAGAATAGTTTTACCAACGCTCTTATATGGGTGTGAAGCATGGGTGATGAATGTTGCAGCGAGAAGGCTGGAGGCAGTGGAGATGTCATGTCTGAGAGCAATGTGTGGTGTGAATATAATGCAGAGAATTCGTAGTTTGGAAGTTAGGAGGAGGTGCGGGATTGCCAAAACTGTTGTCCAGAGGGCTGAGGAAGGGTTGTTGAGGTGGTTCGGACATGTAGAGAGAATGGAGCGAAACAGAATGACTTCAAGAGTGTATCAGTCTGTAGTGGAAGGAAGGCAGGGTAGGGGTCGGCCTAGGAAAGGTTGGAGGGAGGGGGTAAAGGAGGTTTTGTGTGCGAGGGGCTTGGACTTCCAGCGGGCATGCGTGAGGGTGTTTGATAGGAGTGAATGGAGACAAATGGTTTTTAATACTTGACGTGCTGTTGGAGTAAGAGCAAAGTAACATTTATGAAGGGATTCAGGGAAACCGGCAGGCCGGACTTGAGTCCTGGAGATGGGAAGTACAGTGCCTGCACTCTGGAAGGGCGTTAATGTTGCAGTTTAAAAGCACCCTTCTGGCAAGACAGTGATGGAGTGAATGATGATGAAAGTTTTTCTTTTTCGGGCCACCCTGCCTTGGTGGGAATTGGCCAGTGTGTTAATAAAAAAAAAAAATTGTGTGAATGTGTTAGATAGGAGTGAATGGAGACAAATGGTTTTTAGGACTTGACGTGCTGTTGGATTGTGAGCAAGGTAACATTTATGGAGGGATTCAGGGAAACTGGCAGGCCGGATTAGAGTCCTGGAGATGGGAAGTACGTACAGTGTTTGCACTCTAAAGGAGGGGTGTTAATGTTATAGTTTTATAACTGTAGAGTAAGCATGCCTCTGGCAAGACAGTGATGGAGTGAATGATGAAAGTTTTTCTTTTTCGGGCCACCCTGCCTTGGTGGGAGATGGCCGATGTGTTAATAAAAAAAAAAAAAAAAAAACACAATACACATCTGGGCTTTCTTCTATTTTCTTAATACTTCTTGCTCTTCTTTATTTCTGCTTATCTCCAAGGGAGAGTGTAGCAGAATTCTTCCTCAGTAAGTCATATGTATTGTAAGAGGAGACTAAAACGCTGGGAGCAAGAGGCTAGTAACCCCTTCTGTATAAATTACTAAATTTAAAAACTCATGCTTCTGTTTAGGTCACCCTTCCTCGGTGGAATACGGCCAGTTTGTCAGAAAAAAAAACGCAGTATATGAAAGCCAGTGCCAAGTTTGCCATTATAAAACAAACTTTTTACTATTACATCACCCATATGTTTTTTGTAGTGACTATACATTTTAGCTCACAAAATTGTAATAACACAACTGCAAACAAACCATGGAATGGGTGGGGTTTAAAGATTCACTTCCCGTGGGATCAAACCTCACTCGTTCTGTGGTTTAATCATACATTTTAATCACCATAAAAACCTTTTCTAAACCTAAGATTTAAGATTTTGATCACCTTTCTCCCAATTCCATTACCTAACACACCATTAAATTCCATTCTCCCCCCCAAATGCGATTCTAGTAATTTTCATTTATTCTGAATACAATTTGTTTCAGTTACAAAATAAAAACATCTTTCTTCTCATGGAGAAAAGGCTAAAAAACTCATTAACAAGTATTATTTAAAAATAACCTTAAAATACAAACTGGTGATTTAGGTATAGAAGTCTTCTTCTCTATATGAGCATTATTAAATGTGTACAACAAACGAGTTACTAACCATGTGATGCCACTGTGCAATTCAGTGCATAACCATTGACAATGATGGACTCTGTTGCTGAACGTCCATGAGCTTTCAAAACATTGACAGCCTTGATTGGATACTTGAATCCACCCTTGCCATCAGAGGTACGTACTGCCAAAGCAGCATCTACTACCATGTTCGCAAAGAAATCACTGTCAATGGAGATCACCTAGAGAAAAAAAAGATATCTTTAGGGAATAAATCTTTTAAAGTTGCTGTGCAGCCTCCAATTACTGATATTATAAGACTGTACATACAGCATTACTGAGCCAGTAATACATACCAAGACACAAAACCCTGGAATTCTTAGATGCTGTGAATACAGGTACTGGAAGTTTGAATTATGGCAAACTAAGTAATGAATGACAAACTTTTAAAAACTAAGTAATGATTATAAACAAATGTATTATCAGCATGTCAGCATGGTGAGACTGGTTGAGTATGCCTATCACTGCCCTTTATAAGCTGTATAGCCTGCATATGCATTTCATATCTAAAAGTAAAATAAGGGCAGAGGGGATGTGGAGAGGAGAAAAAAAATGAAGAAAAGAATAGAAAAGAGAAAGAAAAGGGAGAAAGACAAATAGAAAGCATGTGCGAATGAGTGAGGAGCAAGTACGTGTGTCCCGTGAGAGAGAGTGCCATGTATCTTGAGCTTCATGATCTAAATCATCAGATCTGTGATTGCGGGAAGGTTATTTTAGGAGAGTTTAACAAATACAATAAGCAAATAACTTTACATAGTACTATATTGTATTACTACCAATTTTTTACATCTTTACCACATTTAGGCATAAACTAAAGCTACAGTTTAAGGGCCTCGCAGTCTGAAGGAGCCTCTCAAAATTTCAGAATTTATTTTTCATTTGCTTGCCTTCATCTGCCTCTGAACCTATAACTGAAAATTTCTTATATTATCAGTTATATTTCTTTATAAAATTTAACACAAGATTTTAACATGCTAGTTTATCTTTTGAGGACATCATTCAACTTTTCATTTAAAAATAAAATAAAGAAAAATAGGGTAAACTGACCATTTCTTATGTTTTATTGTTAATCATGTTACAGTTTTCAAATTAATCTTATTTTCCGGAAATTAGAAATCTACAAACAATATTATACTCCTAAATAATTAATTTTTCTCATTATCTGTAAACTGAATAATTAATGGCATATTTTTGGAGTTCTTATGGAGTGACCCTCCCACACTGGAATGGATTTGTTATGCATCTAGGCAAAATTCTTGCAATGTTTGTTACATAGCATTATTCTCTGCTAAGTAACACTTGCAATTAGGGCCTTGCCACAACTAAATCTGGCCCTGATAGCATTATATTAGTAATAGGAAAATATTTACATTATTTCAACAACAGATGCAAGAAAGTGCAGGAAAATACAGCCTTCCCTTACTTAGCAACGTACTTGTTTACTGCCAGCTCGGACTTACGGCAGGCTCTTTGACCAGTATGCATACCTAAATGTATATTAGAGCTGATTTCCTCTATTCTGTTTTATTACAATAAAGTGGTACCTTGACTTACAAGCTTAATTCATTCCATGATCGAGCTCACAACTCAATCTGCTCGTATATTAAATCAATTTTCCTCACTGAAATTAACTGAAATACAATTAATCCGTTCCAGTGGAATTCCTGGCTCTCAGGAGGCAGGAGAAAATTCTTCAATATAATGTAAAAACTCTACAGCTTATCTATCACAATTAATCTAATATGACATAATAAACAATATAAATAACATAGAAACCATGATATATATGTACTCTAGAATGAATAAAATATGTCATTATGTGACAAGTGGTGGCAGCCACTCCCAAGATAAAAATAATTATCGCTCTGATCATATCTTCCCATCCTCGCCCTTCTGAGGTCTTATTGTAGGAAAGAAAAAAAAAAAAAAAAAAAAAAAAAAAAAAAAAAAAAAAAACACGGAGTGTTTGTGAGGCTAACTGCACTAGATCACTAGTTTCAAAAGGAAAACACTGAAACAAAAGAAATTTTCTCGTGTTTTTCTACGATTTCATGCTTTAATTCAATGGACATCATCATCATCCTCTTCTCAGCACTGTCCTTTGCACTTACTTTCTTAGGACCCAAGGTTAGAAAAAAGAAATTTGGCAAAATAACTATACAAAAAGCACAAAACACTGGGATGCTGGGCAGATGTTGTGGTGTTCGCTGCGTCAACTAGTGGTGGCGTATCTAAAGCTCGCTCATAACTCGGATTTTGGCTCGCAATTCAAAGCAAAAAATCAACCAAGCGACGGCTTGTAACTCGGAAAACTCGTACGTTGGAGCACTCGTAAGTCAAGGTACCACTGTATACAGTACACTATTGTATAAACATTTAAAAATATACCAGAAATGTTATAAATGGTGCAAAGGTGACATAAAAACAATACCAAAGATGGTTGACACAAACCCACTACCATTATAGTATGCTCCTCACTTAGCGATGAATTCGTTTACTGATGAGATCTTAGGAATGGAAATCCGTCGTTAAGTGAGGCGGGGCTGTATAATGACTGAAAAAGTTGGCTGTTAAAAGCAGCCCTTAATGTGCAAGCATAACAATGTTCATTTAATAGTTCCCTGGCTAACCTTGGATGACATGGATGTCCGAGCAGCAGCAACAATGCATTCCTTGCCAATGTCATCTGTATTGATGGAGAGATTGTTCTGGATATATCGACATGCTTCTCTGTAAAGGAAATTTTTGATCACTTTAACCCTTTGAGGGTCACCAGGCCCCCTCAGACTTGTTCTCAGGGTTGCCAAAATTTCAAAAAAAAAAAAAAAAAAAAAAAAAAAAAAAAAAAAAAAAAAAAAAAAAAAAAAAAAAAAAAAAAAAAAAAATCTTATGAAAAGATAAAGAAGCTTTTCCCGATCACAATGTCACCAAAAGTATGAAATTTGATAGAAATGTTATTGTATTTGATGGAAATGTTATTTTAGTGCCAGGAATGTCTTTCTTGTTTATTCTGGACCCTATTTGGAAATTGGCATCTTTTGAAATTTGTGAAATTGGCAAAATTGCTAAATTCTGACCACTGTATTGGATAGTTGAAATCAGTAAATGGGTGGTTTCTTGTACTCATTTGATAGAAAAAATGGAGTTCTAGCGAAATAGTTATGATTTTTGTCAACTAGTACACTGGAATTAGCCGAAAATAGGGCTCAAAGTGGGCAAAATCGCCGAACATCGAGACCACTAACTTCACGAGAGCATAATTCCCTAAGTTTTCCATCAAATTTCACACTTTTGGTGTCATTATGATCGGGAAAAGATTCTCTATCTTTCCATGAGAATTTTTTTTTTTTTTTTAAATTTGGCGACCCAGGCCCTCGGAGAGGGCCTGGCAACCCTGAAAGGGTTAAATGCCAAGATGGTCATGTGTGGCCTGATTAGGTGACCACAATTTGAAGGACATGTGATGGAAGATTAAGTTAGCTTGAGCTATGTCTAAGGGTACATAATAAGGCTAACAAACTACTTGGATTTACAGCAAGAAGTATAAGTAACAAAGAGCACAAAGGTTCTTCTACAGTTCAGTTTTCCTCCCCCCCCCCACAGTTCATTTTTTTTTATATCATATATACAAAGAGGTATGGGGTACATTTAAGAATGTAGTGTTAGTGTGTTCAGCAGAAGTGTATATTCTTAGTGCCCAGTTGTCCTTTGAAGATAAATGAATGACTGTGAAAGATGAATTTCAAAATTTTGTAGCTTCCATCAGCAATATAATACACCCCTTTCCTCCATTAATTTTGACCTGCAATTGAGGATCTTAAATGCAGGTTAAATATTCAATTTGTTCTAATAATTTTTAAACACAAAAAATGAACAATATTAGATATAAACACGACAAAATTTATGGAGGCAGGCCTATTTCAGGCAATGTTACAAAAGTAGAGGTATATGTACTTGCAAGCCAGCTTGTAGCCAGCAATGATGGAGGTGGGATGGATCTTCTGTTTCACCAGGTCATCAGCAGATTTCAGCAATTCTGCAGCAATGATGTTACACTAGTTGTGCCATCACCAACCTAAATGACAAAACACACACAAGAATTATTTGTGCACTGCCAAGTCAATAAATTTATGTACTAGAATATATGATATGCAAAGTTGACTATGATAAAGATCATAGAGAAATTTAAGAAATTTGATTCAGTTTACAGAGAAAAATCAACCTCAAAAACTAATAACTTTTTAAGTTTGCAATCTTAAGTATTTTTTTTCTTTTTAAAACACGGCCATTTGCCACTGCAGTAGGGTGACAATATCACTTAATCCTTCTTGCCAATGATATGCCAAGGCTATAGATCAGATACCCCTCCAAACTGCAAATATCTCCACCCCTCCTGTGTGCAGGCACTGTACTTCCCACCTCCCGTCTGGCAAACCGGTTTCCTTAAATCCCCTTTATAAATGTCACTTGCTCACACTTCAACATCATGCTCACACATGCCTGTTAGATGTTCAAGGTACTTATGAATTTATTATTTTTAATATTTTACTAACAAGCTGGGGCCTTTAATACTACAATTCCAAGGGATTTGTGGGAACAAATATTAAAATCAATATGCTAAAAACAAAACTATTGGGGATATTAGATCTTGTCTTGCATGCTTCATTACTACTATAAATAAAAGCATTAAATGGCTAGCATGTTTCTCAGGACTGATAGAATATTAAACCTTCGCAAGGTTTAAGCAACTGCCAGAAACCACTTCTTGGTAGACTATATATACACATGTGCTAGTAAAGTATCTTTCAATTTCATTAGAACTTGTATATAAAATTATTGCTTTAAACAAAATTACTATACAGTGGACCCTGGGTTATCAGCCATAATCCGTTCCAGGTTGGCTGAAAACTGAAATGGCAAAAACCAAAATAATATTTCATAAAAGAATTAATGTAAATAAAATTAATCTTTTTCCAAAAAAAAAAATAACAATTATATAAATATTACATACCTTTATTGAAGGCTAATGCTGGCTTCTGGAAGATAGGGAGGAGGAAAGAGGGAGGAGTTAGTTTTTTGGAAGGGAAATCCCCTCCATAAAGACTTTAGGTAGCAAAGCCTTCCCCTGGGGTTACTTTCCTTGTTTGTCTTTTAATGCCATTTAGGGACCAGCTTGGAGAGTCACTGGGACCTGTCTCACAAAATAACTTTTCAGAGTGCTCTGTTTCAGGTGTCTCTAAAGATTTCCCTGAAGTGGGACAGGGTTTTGTCACTAAACATGTTGCGATATGACTCGTTTCAGTTTTGTCAGGGTGGTACTTCTTGACAAAACTTTGCCCCATCTTTCATTTTGGGCACAAATGTTCTTAATCAATGAAGAAGGCACCTCCTTCACTCCCTTTTCCTCCTCCTCTGAAGCAAGTTCCTCAGCTGCAGTCTGTTGCTGTTCAAGTTAAAGCTCTTGCAGCTACTCAGTGGTTAGCTCTTCCGTGTGGTCCTCCAACTCTTCCACATCCTCGCCACTCACCTCTAACCCCAGGGACTTCCCCAGTGCCACAATAGAGTCCACAGGGTTCGCAAGGTCAGGGTCAGCCTCAAACTCTTCAAAATCCCTCTCTTGGACACAATCTGGCCACAGTTTTCTCTCCAATAGAGTTCAAAGTCCTGGAAGTCACTCCCTCCCAAGCCTTACCTATAATGCTTATGCAATGGAGGATAGTGAAGTGATTCCTCCAGAACTCTCTTCGAGTCAACTGAGTGTCCGAGGTCACTTCAAAGCACTTTGAAACACTGCTTTTGTGTCGAGTTTTTTGAAGTTAAAAATAACCTGCTGCTCCATGGGCTGGAGAAGAGGAGTGGTGTTAGGAGGCAAGAACTTCACTTTTATAAAATTGAAGTCCCTAAACACTTGGTCTTCCAAGTCTGGAGGATGTGCAGGAGCACTGTCCAGTACCACGAGGCACTTGAGTGGCAATTTCTTTTCCAGGAGGTATTTTTTCACACCTGGGCCAAACACATCATTAACCAACTCTTTGAAAATTTGCCCTGTGACTCGTGCCTTATGATTAGCTTTCCACATCACACAATCTATTCTTCATGACATTGTTTTTCTCGAAAACTCTGGATTTTCCGAGTGATACACGAGTAAAGGCTTTACTTTGAAATCCCCACTAGCATTACCACACAACAAAAGAGTAAGCCTGTCTTTCATAGGCTTGTGTCCTGGCAGTGCCCTTTTCTCCTGGGTAATGTAGGTCCTGTTTGGCATTTTCTTCCAAAACAGGCCTGTTTTGTCATAACTGAACACCTGTTGGGGGTTTGAATCCTTCAGCCTCTATGTACCCCTGGAATTCCTGCATGAATTTTTCAGCAGCATATCTGTCAGAACTTGCATCCTCATCATGCCTTACAACACTGTGTATGCCACTACACTTCTTAAATCTATCAAACCATCCTTTGCTGGCCCTAAATTCACAAACTGCAGCACTTGTTCCAGGCATTTTCTTTGCAGGATCCTCATGCAACTGCCTTGCCTTCTCACAATCAACCAACTCCACAACACTGTCTCCCACTAATTCTTTTTCCTTAATCCACAATAATAATTTTTTTCCATCTCTTCCATTATTGGTGGCCTTTGTTTAGTTACAAAAGTTACTCCTTTTGCAACATTAGCATCCTTGATTTGTTCTTTCTTTGCCAGGATGGATGTAATTGTTGATTTATTCTTGCTGTACATCCTGGCAAGTTCTACCACCCTCATACCACTCTCAAACTTTTCTATCATTTCATGCTTAAATTCCATGGTGTGTCTCACTTTCTTTACTGCAGGAACTTTCTTTGGAGCCATGGTTACTTATTTCACAGTTGCACTGCAAAAATAATACAAACTACAATGGGAAATAAGCAAAATGTTTGGATGTATGAGCAGAAGCTTCCTCAGCCACCGAGCGACAGCCAAACTGATGCCCAAGCGGCCCCAGCCGGCGGATGGACGCGTCCCAAATGGCTGATAACCGGGCGCTGAAAAACCGGCCAATCACCGAGTTGGCCGATAACAGAACTGGCTGATAACCAGGGGTCCAATGTATGTACTTTAGTATAGATTGAGGTTTTAAAACCAAATTTTAAGACAAAAAGTAAATGATGGGATTCTGTCTTTCTTTCAACACACTGGCTGTATCCCACCGAGACGGGGTGGCCCAAAAGGAAAAACGAAAGTTTTTCCTTTTACATTTAGTAATATATACAGAAGGGGTACTAGCCCCTTGCTCCTGGCATTTTAGTTGCCTCTTACAACACGCATGGCTTACGGAGGAAGAATTCTGTTCCACTTCCCCATGGAGGTAAGAGGAAATAAACAAGAACTAGAAAGAAAATAGAAGAAAACCCAAAGAGGTGTGTATATGTATATGCTTGTACATGTATGTGTAGTGTGACCTAAGTGTAAGTAGAAGTAGCAAGACGTACCTGAAATCTTGCATGTGTATGAGACAAAAAAAAAAAAAAAAAAAGACACCAGCAATCCTACCATCATGTAAAACAATTACAGGCTTCAGTTTTACACTCACCTGGCAGGATGGTAGTACCTCCCTGGGCGGTTGCTGTCTACCAACCTACTACCTAGTAAATGATGGGATTCATAGGTAATAATTCCAAGGTGGTCAATTTTTTTTTTATTACCACACAGGCCGATTCCACGAGAGCAGGGTGGCACGAAAAAGAAAAACTTTCATCATCATTCACTCCATCACTGTCTTGCCAGAGGGGTGCTTTACACTACAGTTTTTAAACTGCAACATTAACACCCCTCCTTCAGAGTGCAGGCACTGTACTTCCCATCTCCAGGACTCAAGTTCAGCCTGCCGGTTTCCCTGAATCCCTTCATAAATGTTACTTTGCTCACACTCCAACAGCACGTCAAGTATTAAAAACCATTTGTCTCCATTCACTCCTATCAAATACGCTTGTGCACGCTTGCTGGAAGTCCAAGCCCCTTGCACACAAAACCTCCTTTACCCCCTCCCTCCAACCCTTCCTGGGTCAACCCCTACCCCACCTTCCCTCCACTACAGATTTATACATTCTCGAAGTCATTCTGTTTTGTTTCATTCTCTCTACATATCCAAACCACCTCAACAACCCCTCCTCAGCCCTCTGGATAATAGTTTTGGTAATCCCACACCTTCTCCTAATTTCCGAACTATGAATTCTCTGCATTATATTCACACCACACATTGCCCTCAGACATGAAATCTCCACTGCCTCCAGCCTTCTCCTCGTTGCAACATTCATCACCCATGCTTCACACCTACACAACAGTGTTGGTACCACTGTACTCTCATACATTCCCCTTTTAGCTTCCACGGACAAAGTTCTTTGTCTCCACAGACTCCTAAGTGCACCACTCACCCTTTTCCCCTCATCAATTGTGATTTACCTCATCCTTCATAGACCCATCTAATATCATCTAATAGTTTTGTTTGTGACCCTGTTCCCTTACCTAGTTTACAAAACAGCAAATGACTGCAGAAAAGCCTATTGAAATACTCCTTTATTCTTACAAGTAGGCCTACTGCTTCTCTTAGTATATCAATAAGTTCTATTTTAATATTTCCTATCCAGGTTTTCACTTTCCTGTATTGGTTAATATAATACCAAACTCCTCCAACTGAATTTGTTTTTTAAAGGATATACAGTAAATTGAGCCTTTACCAAGACATTAAAACAATGGGCTAACCTCTTCATCTTGTAACTGTGCCAACTCCACCAAGACACGTGCTGCCGGGTGTTCAACCTCTAACAATTTCAAAATAGTTGCTCCATCATTGGTGACTGTCACATCCTGTACATGGTACATGATATACATAGGTGAGGTCAGAGTGATGTGTCAATGAATTGTAGATATCAAAGTGAATTATGCTTGTTCTTTGACAGATATGACAGTAAACTAGAATATGGTGAACTAATGACGCAATCTGGTAGTCCTCAGAGAGGTGCTGAATATTTTTGTGCTATCACATGCAAGTAGTCTACAACTTTATGGAATACATGATTTAATGTAATTTGACTTGATATACAAGATGAACATAAAAGTTATGTCTAATATACCTTTAACCACTGGCTTAGTAAACTTCTACTTCACTACTTTAATCATTATGTTTAAACACAAAAATTGTATATGCTGAATTCTCAAAATTACTAGTCCATTTATTAGTGATTAACTCCAGTTTTAGTCCCCCCTCAAAATGATGTGCATAATAAGAGGCTTAAATATATTCTAAATGCCAGATATATGCAATTTTCAAAATTATAGCACCCTGTATTTTTGGAAATAAAATTTCTACTTTAATATAATAGATTTTGTTCTATAGATTTTAGGCTCATACATCATTACTTAATAAACACCTATGAAAACATTACATAATGATTATTACTACTTACACCAACATCATCGACAATCATTTTGTCGAGTCCCAGCGGACCCAGAGAGCTCTTGACAATGTTGGCAACAGAGCTGGCAGCAATAACTAAGGAATAATAAAAAAAAAATTCTTTTTGGGCATTGTTCAAAAAAATATAAGTGTTTCTTTGGACCAACCTTGCAAGAAGTGATAATAATGTACAGCCTCTCCTCACTTAGTGGCGTACTCGTTTACCGACAACTTGGACTTACGTCAGCCTCTGATAATATGCATATCAAAATAATGTATATTAGAGCTGATTTCCTCTATTCTGTTTATTACAACATACAGTACACTACTAGAGAGAAAAACTAACGTCAAAGACCTGGGAGTGATCATGTTGGAGGATCTCACCTTCAAGGACCATAACACTGTATCAATCGCATCTGCTAGAAAAATGACAGGATGGATAATGAGAACCTTCAAAACTAGGGATGCCAAGCCCATGATGACACTCTTCAGGTCGCTTGTTCTATCTAGGCTGGAATATTGCTGCACACTAACAGCACCTTTCAAGGCAGGTGAAATTACTGACCTAGAAAATGTACAGAGAACTTTCACAGCACGCATAACGGATATAAAACACCTCAATTACTGGGAGCGGTTGAAGTTCCTGAACCTGTACTCCCTGGAATGCAGGCATGAGAGATACATGATTATATACACCTGGAAAAATCCTAGGGGGACTAGTACGAACTTGCCCACGAAAATCACTCTCTATGAAAGCAGAAGACTTGGCAGACGATGCAACATCCCCCCATGAAAAGCAGTGGTGTCACTAGCACGGTAAGAGACAACACAATAAGTGTCAGGGGCCCAAGACTGTTCAACTGCCTCCCAGCATACAAAAGGGGGGATTACCAATAGACCCCTGGCTGTCTTCAAGCAGGCACTGGAGAAGCACCTAAAGTCGGTACTGACCAGCCAGGCTGTGGCTCGTACGTTGGATTGCGTGCAGCCAGCAGCAACAGCCTGGTTGATCAGACTCTGATCCACCACGAGGCCTGGTCACAGACCGGGCCGCGGGGGCGTTGACCCCTGGAACTCTCTCTCCAGGTAAACTCCGGGTACTGTATAAACATTTAAAAAGATACTACCCTTATAGTATGCTCCTCACTTAGTGGTCTCAGGAACGAAACTCTATCATTTAAGTGAGGAGAGGCTGTATTAATACTATTCAGAAAAGAGCACAACTCATATGGATCATAATGCACTAACAATTTAAACATGTTTAAGGACATTAAATCACACCAGTATAAACTACAGTTAAGGACAACTATTAATTTTTCTTCACTTACCCAAAAATATATGGAATGAGCATGTCTGAGGTACAGTGGAAATAATGAGTGCTGAGTCACTACTTTTCAAATCAGGATCAGATAGCGGGTTCAGTAACTTTTAAAAACAAATATAACCACAAGTTATCCATCAATCATAATTTAGTTTAAATTGGATCAGATTAGTACTATTTGCCAAAAAGTTTCATTAAATTTATATATGTATATTGTAATAATAATAATATTAATTTTTGCATGTACAAGGTATGTGGGCCTAGCTGACATCAGTGACATACTATATAGAAAGCTCCTTGTTATGCAGACCATTTTGGTCAAATTAGGTCAATTTTGTCCCCAGGATGAGACCCACACCAGGCGACTAACACCCAAGTACCTATTTTACTGACAGGTGAACATGGACAGCAGGTGCCCTATGGAAACACATCTTATTGTTTCCACCCATACCAGAGACTGACCCCCAGACTTCAGTGTGAGAGCTGAGTGCACTAGCAACTAAGCTATGGCACACCTAATTTCTCAATACAGGTAATCCTCACTTAATGACCTACCTGTTTAACGACAGCTCGGACTTACAACCAGCTTTCCAACCAATATGCAAACCTAAGTAATGTATATTAGAGCTGATTTTCTCTATTCTGTTTATTACAGTATACAGTACACTACTGTATAAACATTTTTAAAAAATTCTAAAAATGTTATATATGGTGCAAAGGTGACATTAAAACAATATCTAAAGACGGTTGACACAAACCCACTACCAGTACAGCATGCTCCTCGCTTAACAACTACTTTGCTTACCGACCTATCAAGAGTAGGTCGGTAACTGGAACTTGGTGATTAATAAGTGAGGAGTACCTGTAGTAGGAAACTACTGGAGACTTCTGACCAATCGACAACTTGGGAATGTTATCGAGATCACTTTCATTTGAAATAATGACATTTCTGTCATGACTATAGAAGAAGGGTGTTAGTTTTGTGACCTGTCTTATAACAATGAATTCTACATGGCAGCAGATAAGACACATTTCGGCACTTTGGCACTTTGGGGAGGAAATGCACTTAGGCTTAGGTTAGAATGGCTACTTACATTCAGCAGCATTATGTCTGCCATACCATTGCATGTCAGCAGATACATCTTTGATGACAAAAAGTACAATTACCATAATGTATATAATTGAGCTTTATTTACAGAATTAAGTAGCCACGTAGAGTTGCAAGAAATTGACACAGCACAAAGCACACCAAGGTACAACTAACATACCCCGTAAATATGTAATATGTATATTGTATATAAATACACAAAAAATTATTTATATACGTACAAGTAACTGGGGTCCAAAAAAATAGTCAATATTTTAACTCTTATTTTTATATTAAATTAAACTGCTAAACTATTTTGGATATTTTATCAAACACTAAAATTTTACTTACAGTAAACAAGAAGCACTTTGGGTATTATATTCACAAGAAACATTAAACCCAAATGAGTCATACAGCTCACTCTAGGTATGACCTATCAAACTTTTTTTTTACAATCAGTGGTAGTGTAGTCAGCTACAAAGCCAAATGCATCCTGGGTCAAATTCTGGGTGAGGGAAGATGTATGGGCAAGCCTAACACCAGCTAGGATTTAGTGCTTTCTGTAATAAATGAATATTGGTCCTCTGTATTTTGGCAATAATTATAATTTAAAGACTTCCAACATTAAGTGGGTCCTGTCATGTAGATAGTTTTATGTTGTGCAATTGGGAACACCCAACCAAACCAAGCATTATCAACGTGATATACCCTAACTTACTCTATTAACGGAAGAAATGGAACTGGGCTGTGATTAACTCGAATACTGACTGTCGATGGGCCATGATGCAGCATTCGAGCCAAAATAAAGGTATTAATTTTGTTAATATCTCCCAAATGTTATAATCTACACCAGTAATAACTATTTTGTAATATAAAATGGTTGCAATAGTCTTAAAAAAATACGTTGCTGGAGAAATGGTGTAGTGGGTACCGACAAGACGTGAAAAAAACACAAGCATACAGATCAGGACATTTATTAAAGGAAATGTTTCTTCTGTCCTATTAGGACTGATGAAGTCACTGAACTGTACACTAAGTGTCTTTTTGCACATATACAATAATACCAGAGTTCAGTTAAGGACCAATATTTAATAATAGCCTTGCTTTCTTGCAAGTATAAAAGCTAAGACCTACCCCCATCATAACTAGCAGTAAATAGACATTCAGAAGTTAGGAGACATTCCCTAGACCAAACTTGCACGTTAATAAATAAGCATTTAAATAAAATTACTAGTTTAATATTCCTAGTTTTCATTATAATTTCATTTATGAAGGAAGCGCTAAACCCACAGGGGTTATGCAGTGCCTTGAAAAATTAAATACTATATAAGAACAAAGCACATAATTACAAATACAGTATATAGTTACAAAGGGAAAGCAATCAAGATTCGATCCAAATGGAGGATAGTTCCAATTTCTTGGATCAAGAGCCCTTCATTAATATCAAGCCATACCCCTTGAGGGGATAAATGCATTTACAAGTGTACAGTAATGATAAATTATAAAGATTTAACCTGGTATAACCCGTGTTAATAATGGCAGCTACTATGACTACAGAGGTACCAGACTCACCATTCTCCGTCCTTACAGACGTGCCAGAGGTCCTCTTCCCCTGGATGCTTAACACAGAGTCTGCCGTCATTTTGTATATTAATTCCTGGCTTGTTATGACAACGTGGTGTGTATGTGGTGATGCCGGGGCACTGGTAGCCACACTGTGAGTCACGAGGAATTACAACCTCTATCCTGGGACACTCAGAGGATCCTGCATGCTTATAAGGAGGATCAACCGACCTCAAGGAGGATCCCGCTCCCTCACCCTCTCCTTTCTCGACTCTTCTCGAACCTCAACAACAAATGTCAAATTTGTAGTCAATATCTCTTTATTTTTGCCATGTACATTATTAGTTTTAAGTGTAGATAGTGGCAGGGAGTGAGAGAGGTATAGAATATAGCAGTGGTCGCCATGGAGTGCATCAAAGGATGTATTACACTGGTTATAATAATAATTTTCGCGGGTACGGTCTTCATAGAAAACATGAGTAAATTTCTAAAACAAAGAAAACAGAGCATTTTGCGGATAAACTATAAATTTATTAATCCTTCAGAAGGGTGGAGCCTGTGAAAAATATTCCGATTATTAAACGGGAAGGTTAATAACCCAGGATAACCCAGTAAGCCACTATGTCTGGTTTACTTCCATAGGTGTCCTTGAATCCCCTTTCTCAGGGTGCGACCCACTACAGTCTGTTAACATCCAGTCGGCTAACAGCATAAATAAAGTGTAAGTAAGTAAGTAAGTAAGTAAGTTTATTCAGGTAAACACAAATACAGTTACATAGAATTATCATACATAGCAGCATATGTGTAGGGAACCTAGGATAACCCAAAAAAGTCAGACAGAGTGACTTATTTCCATTGGGGTCCTTTTACCTTATTATTATAGTATAAAGGTTATAATATTTTCTTATTATTCTACAATGAAGATAACATCTTATTATCATACTAAAAAGACTATCTGCTACACCAAGGTCATTAAGACTATCTACAATACGAGGGTCATTACAAGGAATAAGGTAAAATTTACACGTATGTTAGCTAAAAAATAGAAAATCATTCCCCTCCCTTCTGTAGCTACATTCATAGACACCTTTTGGCACTCTTCTTGAACTGGTTCACGCTATGACTGGCTTTGACATGTGCGGGTAGTCTGTTCCATTCCTTTATTGCTGTACAATAAAAGGTGTTTGAAGCCTGGCACTGACTGTGGGTACTACAAAGTTGTGCTCTCTCCCCCTAGTACTATGATTGCTTGGTTCCAACCTTGACAAAATGACAGCAAGATATTCTGGACATTGTTTGTGAGCAATTTTATAAACATGATTTAGCTTCAGTTGTTTTACTCTGTCTTCAACATTTAGCATATCCAACTGCTGTAATTCATCCTGGCCTACATGTTCTCTTGGTCCCAGCCCCAGGATGAATCTTACGATTTTGTTCTGGGTGATTTGCAGTCTATCTTTCAGTTTTTTTTGTCAAGGCAGAGTACCAAGAAGAGCAAGCGTAATCCATATGGCATTGTATAAGGGCTAGACATAGGGTCCTGCGAGCCTCAGTAGGTAGACACTGTGCTTGTCTATACAGGAACTTCAGTTTGGCATTCGCTTTCTTTACTACACTGTTCCCTATCAATCTCCTGACATGCATGGGTCAAAGGGGATTCCCAAATATTTTACTGATGAAACCAAAGTGATGGGCTCCCCATTACATTGAACATTAAAATTATTTACCCTTCTCAGTTTATGTTTCGTGCCAAAGAAAATGGCTTCAGTTTTCCCTAGTGTAATGATAGTTTGTTGTCTACTAACCATTTGCTGCAGGACTCCAGTTCCAGTGATAAAACATTAGCAATATCTTGTGGGTCTTTACCTGACACTAACAGAGCACTGTCATCTGCATACAGTAGGAGTTTGCACTTGACACTGATAGGCATATCATTGACATAACATAAGAATAATAAGGGACCCAGAATACTACCTTGGGGAACTCCACATGTTATCGGCAGGGGTTCTGATTCTGTTTTGTTGATTTTGACTATTTGTCTCCTGTTGCTAAGGTAGGACTTAAACCAGTCTACAGAACCTATACCAATAGCTTGAAGTTTATTACATAATATATTGTGGTTGACAGTATCGAAGGCCTTTTGCAGGTCTAAGGTTACCATGCCTATGAGGTTCCCCTTTGACATTTCAGTTCTCAGGTAATCCATCAGATTAATAAGGGAGGTGTCGGTTGAGTAGGATCTTCTAAAGCCCGATTGATAGCTATGGAGAATGTTGTTGTCATTAAGGTACTGTAGTGATACTGGTCCTGTGGGGAGCAGCAGCAGGATAATACTGCACCACCTCTAGGGGCCCTTAACAACAACAACAGTTTGGCGTGCGTCATGGGCACCAACATATGGTGTGTGATTCTCTCCTACTTTATCCATTTATCACCGATGCAGATTACATGGTGAGTTTAAATATGTGGCCTGTAGTTATAACTTTTCTCTTGAATATGCAAGACATCACCATCCCTGTAGAAGCCATTATTAGATGTACTAGTCATTATATTTTGTTGTTGCAGAAGTACTATGAAGATTCTATGTTCAATAAAGCCTAGAGATAAGGCCTGTGTTTCTATCACAACAATTTATTGAACATAGAATCCTGGGCTACCTGGTGGTGATCCTGCGCTAGACTACATCACAACATGGAGCGTTTACTGAAACCTGAGAGGCTAGACTGTGACCCCAGCTTATCAACGGCTGCTCAGGAATGGATGCACTGGTTTAAGACTTTCGAAAACTTCTTGGGAGCCCTTCCTAAAGAAGATCTAGATAACTAAGTCTGCTCATCAATTTTGTGTCACCTAAGATATATGAGGCTATTTCTGAGTGTAATACCTACGAAGATGCTATCAAAACCCTCAAGTCTCAGTATATTAAACCTACAAATGAAATCTTTGCCCAAC